TGCATGCAGAAATGAAATAATAAATTTTCAATTCAAATATTTCGCGTGTGAATTTTTTATTTCAATAAAATCAGTACTAGTACAGCTAATAATTATGACCAAGCTTTAACTTACGGTCCAGTTTTGATATAATGAACGTTCTATCATTAATAAAATAAATATGACTGTTGTTAGCACATGCCCATGTGTGGAAGTTTTCTTCTGTCGCTCTGTTTATGATCGTTCGTATAACCGACTATTACTTGTAAGCTGGGCTCTGATTGGATGAAACGAACGACTTCCGGGGAATTCCACCGATAGTTACAAATGTCGTCCTGTGTCTGAGATCAGTTATTCCGTTGCCCAAAGACCATATATGGAAATATAAAGGACGCGATTCAAAGCGCCATCTGGCCACATTCCATTTTTAGCAATGGGAATTTCCAGGTTTTGATTTATTTTCGTCTGAACATTGTAAGCAGGCTATCAGCTTTGAATAGCTTTTTATTTTATGGTATCAATACAAAATTAAGTATATCACAATCTGTGCATGCAAAACACGCATGCAAAATATTTTTTGTGTGTTTATATAATTTTAATGCGTGAAAAACGCAGGTTTCTGCGTTAACGCGACGCTGGATTCCCCACAGGGGCAGTGATAGTACTGATACATAGACAGCGATAGACATTCATCGTCTTAACTGTAAAGTGTTTGTTTCCATTCCACAACTTAGAGAGCCCAAGCGATTGGCGTTCTATTCCAACCAAGGACTCGATCATGTAATATATAACACTATTTTCTGTACTTAGACGCATTTTTTAGAAGAGTGTGATGTCCAAATTTAGATGATAACATTTTTCTCAAACGGGATTAAAAAGGTGTTTAACATCATGTTCAAGTTTATTGCACTAATATATTGATATGTGTGTGTGTGTGTGTGTGTGTGTGTCTGCTTGTGCTGGTCCGCACTAATGCTGATTTAATAATAGTGCTAGCCCACTGAGATACCATGCCTCAGTTTAACATGAATACCCCATTCAGACATGGTATACTGACTCCGAGACAACCAGTCCTTGTTTTAGCCCCTTAATGCCGAGTCCCAGGCAGGGTAACAACAAATACCATTTTTTAACATCTTTTGGTATGATGTGGCCCAGAATCAAACCTTCCACTCTCCGGGCAGGCGCTCTACCACTAGACCATGGAGGCAGTCTGGGACTGCTTGAAGCTGATAATAGCTACCGTGCCATATAGAACATATACTAAGATTCAAAGTCAGACTACATGTGCAAATATAGTGAAAAAAAATATGCATACCTTTGAAATCTCTTTGAAATCTCTTATGACCCAAAGCAAGCAAAGTACATGTACCATGTGTACTACAAACAAATGATGAGGTCCGAACGACCAACCAACTGAACGAAATTTAACATAATCAAATCTAACAATATTGCCCCTCTCTCAAGTTCTCAACTGTCTTAATTTTTAATTGAGTAGACTCGACATTGTTATTTTAAAACCCTGTTTCCTTATTCACTAGTTATTAATTCATACCTGGAGAGGCAGGAAAATCAGGCCAGTGTTTTCATTCAAAAATACAGTGTTGAATTTTTTGTTTTTGATAATGTGTTATTTGGTGTGATCTTGTCTATTGAAGTTAACATTTAAAAAACAACGAAATGATGCTGATTAATTTCAATGATCAATCAGTTAGGATGAACCAATCATTAGTCATGATTATACAACCAACTCCCAGCACTCATGTGAGCATAGTGAAGTGCCTTGAGTGTCTTCTACCACGCATCAAGACTTATCAAATGTGATGGAACATAATAGGATCCCACAGATGGCTGTGTACATTTATCACTCTATTTAACATGGGTTTTTCTGTAAGCTACAGGAGCCATTTCATGTTTGTTAGCAACATGTGCTGAATAAACAGTGCTGAAAGATCCATGCAGATAAGGTATACACAGTTCTCTCCCCTTAAGCATGTTAACCACAGACCATTCCTGCTGGCTGTTTCACACTTGAGAGGCTTAAGATTCATGCTATATTAAGCAATTTTCCAGCAATATCACCAAATGATAGTGGAACTTGACTGAGACACCCACACTTACTCATACAAGTGGCTTTCAGGACAATGTTTGGCAAATCCAGCATTTGATTTATTGTTTAACATGTTTAAAGTCAGACCATGTTGGCCAATCCAGCCTTTGATTTATTAAAGTTAGACGAGTTCTATGGATGAACAACTTCTTTATTACAACTCGTCTTACTTCATCACACTAACTTCTAAATGCCACTGAAAGAAGTTACTTTGATTTATTGTTTAACATGTTTAAAGTCAGACCATGTTGGCCAATCCAGCATTAAATTTATTGTTTAACATGTTTAAAGTCAGACCATGTTGGCCAATCCAGCATTTGATTTATTGTTTAACATGTTTAAAGTCAGACCATGTTGGCCAATCCAGCATTTGATTTATTGTTTAACATGTTTAAAGTGAGACCATGTTGGCCAATCCACCATTTGAGTTACCGGCTAAAGAGAGACCATGTTGGCCAATCCACCATTTGAGTTACCGGTTAAAGAGAGACTATGTTGGCCAATCCACCATTTGAGTTACCGGTTAAAGAGAGACTATGTTGGCCAATCCACCATTTGAGTTACCGGCTAAAGAGAGACTATGTTGGCCAATCCACCATTTGAGTTACCGGTTAAAGAGAGACTATGTTGGCCAATCCACCATTTGAGTTACCGGTTAAAGAGAGACTATGTTGGCCAATCCACCATTTGAGTTACCGGTTAAAGAGAGACTATGTTGGCCAATCCACCATTTGAGTTACCGGCTAAAGAGAGACTATGTTGGCCAATCCACCATTTGAGTTACCGGTTAAAGAGAGACTATGTTGGCCAATCCACCATTTGAGTTACCGGTTAAAGAGAGACTATGTTGGCCAATCCACCATTTGAGTTACCGGTTAAAGAGAGACTATGTTGGCCAATCCACCATTTGAGTTACCGGTTAAAGAGAGACTATGTTGGCCAATCCACCATTTGAGTTACCGGCTAAAGAGAGACTATGTTGGCCAATCCACCATTTGAGTTACCGGTTAAAGAGAGACTATGTTGGCCAATCCACCATTTGAGTTACCGGTTAAAGAGAGACTATGTTGGCCAATCCACCATTTGAGTTACCGGTTAAAGAGAGACTATGTTGGCCAATCCACCATTTGAGTTACCGGTTAAAGAGAGACTATGTTGGCCAATCCACCATTTGAGTTACCGGTTAAAGAGAGACCATGTTGGCCAATCCACCATTTGAGTTACCGGTTAAAGAGAGACTATGTTGGCCAATCCACCATCTGAGTTACCGGTTAAAGAGAGACTATGTTGGCCAATCCACCATTTGAGTTACCGGTTAAAGAGAGACCATGTTGGCCAATCCACCATTTGAGTTACCGGTTAAAGAGAGACTATATGTTGGCCAATCCACCATTTGAGTTACCGGCTAAAGAGAGACTATGTTGGCCAATCCACCATTTGAGTTACCGGTTAAAGAGAGACCATGTTGGCCAATCCACCATTTGAGTTACCGGTTAAAGAGAGACTATGTTGGCCAATCCACCATTTGAGTTACCGGTTAAAGAGAGACTATGTTGGCCAATCCACCATTTGAGTTACCGGTTAAAGAGAGACTATGTTGGCCAATCCACCATTTGAGTTACCGGCTAAAGGGAGACTATACTGGAGTGTGATGTCCAAATTTAGATGATAACATTTTTCTCAAATGGGATTAAAAAGGCGTTTAACATCGTGTTCAAGATTATTGCACTTATATATTGATGTGAGTGTGTGTGTGTCTGCTTGTGCTGGTCCGCACTAATGCTGATTTAATAGTGCTAGCCCACTGAGATACCATGCAGCAGTTTAACATGAATACCCAACTCAGACACAGTATACTGACTCCGAGCCGACCAGTCCTTGTTTTAGCCCCTTAATGCCGAGCACCAGGTAGGGTAATAACAAGTACCATCTTTTAACGTCTTTTGGTATGACGCGGTCTGGGATCGAACCCCGGACCTTCCGCTCTCCGAGCAGACGCTCTACCACTAGACCACGGAGACGGTCACGTCATGTCAGGAACGGTGACGGCAATTAACCAAGCCTCTGAGTAAGTCCACTAGATATTAGTCCCCCATAATTATATTGAGATCACTACACGGGAGTCCATCAAGTACCATGTATCAAAACAATTCAAACAAAACTGAGTTACATATGTTCTGAAACAATGAGTTGTAAGATAATGGTCAGTGTTCCTGTTTACCGGTAATTAACAGTTTTTTACCGGAACACCAGTGATTCATGTGATTGCCAGTCCCTGTGAACAATATTACCTTATATATCCTTGTTGTTGAACAAAACATAGCGACATTCATAAAGGAACACTTTTCGAGCGAAGTCAGCTTGTTTGTTACCATCAGGGTTTCCCATTGTCTATTTTTAAAGCAAGATGCTTTTAGGTAAAATATATATTTGAAGCATATATATCTCGAAATAATAATAAAAAGAAGAGAAAATTGTGACTGAACTCTGTGTGAATGACACGTAGATATAACCAAGTTACTTCAGAGATGACTTCATTGCAATCAAACATGATGTTGAAACAATTAACATGACTAAAACAAAGTACTATTCATATGTTTTATTATTTGTTAAAAGTTGGGACAGACAAAAATAAGGGGGGAACTGGTAATTTTTAGAGTTGCTAGTCGACTAGAAGTGACAGTTTCAAAAGCCAGCGGGAACACTGATGGTATATGACAGACAGGAGTACAGTGTTCTTGGTCTATGTTTCTTCAACATGTTCAACACCCTTGGGGCCAACTCTGTCCTAATCATGCTAATATCTCCTAAGGGTCCAATATGTGTCTTACATCGCCAATCATGTCCACAGGCAACTGGAAGCTGTGTGCGATATAACACTAAGACTATACTGCCATGATTGTAAGCCTACCTGTATGTCTGTTTTAATCCACTTGGCATCCAGCCGAACCTGTGGCCAGAGTCTTGCCTCTGCTATCCAGCTACCACTCATTTTGCATGTTAGTCATAGAAACTTGCCACCACTGCAGGAATGAAAGATACATCAGGTCAGAAAATTCCTGGCATATTTTACTTTTATTAACAAATAATAAAGTTTGCTTGTTGTTTTACATGTCATTTAACGCTCAGCAACAGTCAAGCTATATGACGACGGTCTGTAAATGATCGAATCTGGACCAGACAATCCATTGATTGACATCATGAGCATTCATCTACGCAGTTGGGATACGATGACAAGCATCAACCAAGTCGGCGAGTCTGACCACCTGATCCCGCAAGTCGCCTCTTACGACAAGTATGGGTTGCTAAAGATCATTTCTAACCCAGATCTTCACAGGTAAGGATTACTAATATGGCCAATATCACATGATATACTGTTATCAGGGGTTGATTTAACAGCTGGCCCGTTGGCCTGTGGCTAGGTAAAATTACAAAGGGCTTGCTGAAACATAAAGTACATGTAATTGGTCTGTCTGGCTAGTCAAAATTTCAATCCTGTATTCTTAATTTTTTTAACAGGATCATCTCGGTAGAATAACAACGCGCCACCATTTTGTAATGTTGTGTACAACAACTTCTTTATTTGCTCAGTGAATCACCATGAAATGAGGCAAATGGAAGCCAAGATTTAATCTCAACATTTTAGGGGTTAGGAGTTCTAAAATTTTCAGAGCCCTGCTAGGTGGACATGCGACCTCAGGTTCGGCCACTTGACGGACTCCACCATTTAGTTGTAGGCCAGCTAGTTTAGAAAAGGGCCAGTTACTATGAGCCCTGCAAACAATAATCTGATTCTCCAAATCAAGAATGTTGTATCATTCATAATCTTAAGTGTCTTCATAAGAAGTTCTTCCATTTAAAAGATTTTTACATGGCAAGAATCCACGGTCTATTTCAGTACCAAAATCATTATCCCATGGTGAATTTGAGCGGTTATAATATCAAAATGTCCATTTCCGCTTGATAAACCATTATCCAAAATAGTTTTGTGGAATGACGAGAATACCCAGTAGCTTTCATTCAACAATTTGCCATATCAAAATACCAATCAGCACAATTAAAACACAAAGTGGGAGAAACACTGAAAAACAACGGAAACAATATATTAAAGAGATGAACTGAAAGCTATCTCCATATTTTGCCCTCAGACACCCTCACTCAGCAATATTCTAGCTAAATGATGCTGGCCTGTAAAGGATACTAGACGATCAGTACCCACAGAGATTCGAACCCAATCAAAATGGATAACCTGTACCTAAAATGCTTTGAAACAATTAAAACTATTAAAACATTTGAATACAGATTCAGGTTTTGGGCCACGAGTCACCCAATTGATTAGGTACGAATACCGGTTATCCAACATTTGGGTACGAGTCCACCCAAAGTCTGGGTACAGGTCTCCATGGGTACGGATTGTCCAGTTCCCCCAGTAAATAATGGAGCCCAGACCAGACAATAAACATGATAAAGTGATTGACATTGTGAAAGAATTTCTAGGTTGAGAAAGAGCAATCTATCATATGAAAATATGGATTCCCAGGGTACAGATAACTGACAACAACAATATCTTAATTTTGGCTTGCATGCAGTAGCAACTGTCATGATTTTATTCCAAAATCGTGCATCTGAAAGAGCACTGTGCCTACAACATCAACAATATCTACAATATTCGTGAACAACTACATGATCTACAATATTCTGGAATGTTTTTTATGACATGTCAATACAGTTTTTCAAAGATGCCCCACTGTCCCCAGTACATGCAATAAGGGCAATAAAAAAATCTTAACTGACAACAATGACCGGCTTGGCACAAACTTCCAAAGACAGAGAATAGTGTGCTGGTGTCAGTCTTGGTAAACGTGGGGGAATTGGTTAAAACCCACTTTTCCGACGTCAGTGAAGTTATAAGCGCATGAGTCGGTTACTTTCTTATTTGGTGAATATATCGCATTGAGAATCTATCCGATAATAGACCTTGGTATTTTCAAAATTTAAGAAAAAGATTAACATAATAAATTATACACGTCGGCCCATATTTCCAACCTATTCCTAGAACAGAGACACAAAACACCGCCTCCTGCACAAGCCCATTACAAGTGTCTCGCAAGAACGAGAAATGTATAACATAAAACTATCCAAAATAAGTGCTAACCTTTCGATTCTTGTCATATTTTTGTTGATTGGAATATCGCTTAGTGCTACTTCCGGTACTTCCGCCAAGGGAGGCCACTCTAAATGCAGACTTTGACAAGTGCTTGTGAAGTAGGAAGCAAATTGTTGCATTACATGTCTTCAATAGTTGCATGAATAGATGACCAACGTTCATTAAGATGTCGACGTCAACGCAGGTGCAAAACACCATTGGACATTAGGAGTCCATCCGGGACAATATTTGTATCATTTGTTAATTATTACGCTCGCCATGACAGAAACTGTCGCAGGAGGAGGGGCTCCACTTCCCCCAAAGAGACCAACGATTATCAGGCCATCAACAGCAGCGTGTAAGTCCCCCCTCTTTCCCGTTACGCGTTTAATGTAATTTACGTATTGTAGAAACTCCAACGCATGTTTCGGTATCATACCAACTTTGTTTATCTTGTATGTGCTTAACTTTGTTCTGACAAAGTCCTTGTTGAATGTTTATACAGTGAAATCTCAACAACATTGTCCCATTTATAAGGAAATATTTTGTTACAACTTCCTTCCCACACAGACTGCATACTGTCTGTCATCTTGTGAAGGTGGACTAACTTTGTTAGTAAATCTAATGTAGACTCATCAATATGTTAAGCAATGATCATGAATTATGTGAGGATATTTCCGCCACAGGGCATCACAGCTATATCTAACTTAGTGCTTATCATCAGACATTGAAGTCAGCAGACAAGTAGTCATAGTAACCCCTGAAGCATTCTATCTCTGCTATTTATAGTGGTAGGCAATATCCATCACTGCAAAAATGATGAGGACCAAATGTACCAAGGTATTTAATTAATTTATTTCATTTAACCAAGTCATTATCTGGGTAAATGAATGCATACATTCGCAGAATAAAATGTTTAAAGGAAGAAAAACTGATGCTAAATATGATAATGGTAACATGATTTTTCAGTGAATAGTGAGTGAGTGAGTGTGTTGGGTTTAACGCCGCTTTTAACATATTCCAGTTATATTGCGGCGTGTCAGCTTAATGTGGGAGAAAAAGCCCGAAGTGATGCAGGTCTCAGACGTTTACCACTTTGGTGAAACCCATGAGCATGCTGACAAACCTAGAAACATAATCAGGGCGAACCGGGATTTGAACCCACAATCATAGGTTTCTGGCGTGTCCAAGGGAGGCAATTCTGCACAGCGAATCGCGGCGCCTTAGACGACTGGGCCACCCGTGGATAGAATGATACATGATAGCAAATTTTAAGATACTGTCCAAGAATACTGGAAAATATGATGAAACATTATTACCATGATTACCATGATCATAATGTATACGAGTCTCTAAGGCCACATTTTTATTATTTTAACAGATTTTTGCTAACCTATCGACTTCAGTCAATCAAAATATAAATATGAATACATTAATGTTATTCCCTCTTTTGTATTATAATTGTTTGGGTCAGTCAGTGTAGTGGAGGAATGTAAATGCTCATAACATTTAAAGTGCGAGACGTTTAGTATAATTATAGTAAAATATGTGTATATTTTTACTTCTGTGAAGGCTTTGTACCCTTTATACATGTTATGAGTGGCAATATACTGTATATCATTAATTATTGCTTGAAAACTGAATTGTTCCTTATATCTTATTTTATTTTTGTAGTTGCATTTTTTTTAACCTATTGAAGATGGAGTAATCTTTCAAATAAAATAACTTTTTTATTTTTTTATTTCTTTTTTTTTTTATGATTAGTGATTGAATTTACACTTATAGTTTATGTCTTGCTGATCAGCTGATAGTTTATGTAAAATATCTTACTTTGATATGTTTTATAGAAAATTGAGATAAGTTCATTTTCTTCAATGTACATAATTAATATTTAATTAATACAGAAACCATGCATATACAGGTACAAATGGAAATGAGCCAAAAAGACCAGTCCCATCTCGCCCTGCGCCTGCCAGGCCACCACCCTCCCCCAAAGGGGGGGGCGGGGATGGAGCGAGACCATTACCCCTAGTACCAAGCAGACCTCCTCCAAAGCCCAGTGATGGAAGTGGTAAGTCCGATTTGTCAATAATTGTACTACAATGTGTGCCATAAAAATAGTAAGCTAAAGCCTTTTAAAAAATTGATTTGTCCTGGATGTGTTGACTTCATACATTATCAAAATCTTGGTGTTTAGAGGTTACCTGTGTCTTCCTTGTCCAGGTGAATCCCGAAGACCTGCAGTGCCTCCATCAAGTGCCTCCAAAATCCCTCCACGACCATCAGCAGAGAAGCCCAATATCTCAAGGGGATCTGTTAAAAAGTAGGCAGAATAACTGTAAACTTTTCTACAACACAATACCCTCTTTTTATATATTTGTCCTACAAGAACATTAATTAAAATGATTTGTTCCTTCAGAATTAGTTATGGTTGGGTGATCACTTGTTGGTCTCACTTGCCTGTTGAATGCGTATCCCAGTCACTCTGTGCACCCACTCCGCTCCACTCCACTCCACTCCACTCCAGACCCGTGAAGATCTGGGGTAGAAATGGTAGAACAGGTCTTAAGCAACCCATGCTTGCCGTAAAAGGCGACTATGCTTGTAGTAAGAGGCGACTATGCTTGTAGTAAGAGGCGACTAATGGGATCAGGTGGTCAGACTCGCTGATTTGGATGATGCATGTCATCGATCCCAATTTGCGTGGATCGATGCTCATGATGTCAATCACTCGATTGTCTGGTCCAGACTTGATTATTTACAGATCGCCATCATATAGCTGGAATATTGCTGAGTGCGGCACTTAACAAACAAACAAAACCACTCCACTCCACTCCACTCCACTCCACTCCACTCCACTCCACTCCACTCCACTCCACTCCACTCCACTCCACTCCACTCCACTTAAGGCAGTCAGTCACTCAGTTTTTGGCTCCAGGCAGATAAGTGTGCTGCCATTAACAATGACATTTATCTATGATCAGCCCCTAGGTTGTCTGCTTCAGGCTTACATTGGATACAAACATGTGATACTAGCGACCTATCCTTCCCTGGGATCTCAAGGGGAGACATTTGTGGGACACTAGCGACCTATTCTTTCCTTGTCATCCAAGGGGAGACAAGCATGTGATGCCAGTGACCTACTCTGTCCTTGAATCTCAAGCAGACACACACACACGCATGCACGAGCGTGCACAGATAAACACTGCTATATATGCACAATAATCTTGAACGCAACTATAAACCCCTTTCACCTCTCCACCTATTACTTGATGTTTATTTTGTTTACATAAAGAGAAACAAAAAATATTTGTCTGTTAATAGTTGAAATAATTATTAGTATCTTTGTTTGTTTTAAGACGTCCAGAAATAACAATTGTAAGTGCAAAGCCGATGAGCCAAGTTGGATTCCGCGATGAAAAGGAGAGTCCAAAGCCAGAAGAGAAACCTGCAGACAGTTCTGTATCCAGACCTCCACCTCGACCAGGTGACTTGCCTCATCTCCATCCTTGATCGGACTAGTAGGATTCAGAATAATGCACTGGAATATCAACTCATTCCTTTTTTTTCTTTCTTGTTTATTCAATTGCTTTGGGAAGACAGTTAAGGTTTGTCAATTTGAAATCCTTGAATCCTCAAACATATGGAAAGAGATGAGAAGGATGACTGTAGTTCAGTGTTGTGTATAGCTTGAACTCTAGCATATTATCGATAAAGACAAGTCAATCATCCCAGCAACTAACTTTGCTAACCATGGCAACCCATACACACACCTGCTTTTATTCATAATGTTCCAAACTTACCAAATGTCATCCCAACGAGTCGGGGCGGTGGGGTAGCCTAGTGGTTAAAGCATTCGCTCGTCACCCCGAAGACCCAGGATCGATTCCCCACATGGGTACAATGTGTGAAGTCCATTTTCAAGTGTGCCCCAGCATGATATTGCTGGAATATTGCTAAAAGCGGCGTAAAACCATTCTCACTCACTCAGTCATTCCAACGATTTCAGACCGCCTCCGTGGTCTTGTGGTAGAGCGTCCGCCCGGAGAGCGGAAGGTCCAGGGTTCGATCCCGGGCCGCGTCATACAAAAAGACGTTAAAAGATTGTACTTGTTGTTACCCTGTCTGGCGCTCGGCATTAAGGGGCTAAAACAAGGACTGGTCGGCTCGGAGTCAGTATACTGTGTCTGAGTGGGGTATTCATGTTAAACTGCGGCATGGTATCTCAGTGAGCTAGCACTATAAATCGGCATCAGTCCGGACTAGTACAAGCAGCCACACACACACATACACGTGCATGCACGTCGCTATATAAGTGCAATAATCTTGGACGCGACGTTAAACCCAATTTCACCTCACCACCTCACCTCCAACGATTTCAAACATCCAGTTTTGGTTACACTCACTTCTTGAAAAGTGGCTGGCTCAACAGTACACTGAGTTATTAGTAGTTTGAGACTTGGCAGGGAGTAGTCCCTGTTTTCACTATTAATTAGAAATATAAGATACAAAATCTGATATACATTTTGTCCCCATCCCTGCTGTGTTCATATTGGATAAAAACCTCTTGAAAAAGGTGTATGACTTTGGGGGAACAGTGTTTCAGTTGGTTGTTTTTGTTGCATATGTTACAGTGTTTGTTCACTTGTGAAAGGTAATCTGAGGATTATTTTATTTCATTAGTTTGAGACAAGTTCTGATTTTATACCAAAGCATTCTGGATTCTGTGACCACCAGGTTACATTGTCGGAAACAGTGTACTCAGTTCAATGAGTCGTCCTGTATTATCTTCCCTGCATGGATAATGTCGATGAATTTTACGTTACTGTTATTTTTCAGTTTCTTCATCTCATGCTGCTGAGCAGGGCAACAATGCTCCAATGCGACCTCGACCTCCAACGAATCAGATTCGACCACCCCCTCCGAACAAGTCCAGCACATCGAGTCAGCCCTGTCGTCAACAAAATCTGCTGGATGATGACACTGAGCAGTCCGGCCTGCCTCCCCCGATGGCGTTATTCAACCCATCCCCAGGGAGTCTGGTAAACGTTGAGGGGGAGCATCCACCAGCCCCTCCACCCAGGACGGATCTCCTGGGAGACACATCTCTGCCTTCATCTCACCCTGTGCCTTCCTCCAGACCTCCTCCTCCCACAAGGCCTGGATTTGTCAAACAAGATGACAAGCCACCCATTCCAGCCCGAGGCGCCCCCGCGGATCTGTCACCCCCTGATGGAGTACCTCGGGGAGTTCCTCCAATCCTTGGGTCCAGACCAATATTCGGTCAATCTGACGGTGGTGATGAGGATAGCAGTAGATCCCAGCCTCCTAAGCCCTCTAAACCAACCATCATTAGACCGACAAAACCACTGCCTAGTCCTCGAGAAGAAAACAAAAGTATTTCATCAAGGCCAGTTGTAGCGAGTAAAAATGCTGCTGAAGAGAGTAAGAGTGGAGTTGAACAATCTGTGATACAAAAGTCAGACAGTAGTAATAGTTTAGCTAATGAACCAGAGCCTCAGTATGCAAGAATTGATAAACCAAAACCAAGACCAAATATTATTGGACGACCCAAAAGGGATCCTGATCAAAATGAAAGTGATGCAGGTCAAGGGTTACCATTTAAGGTTAAATTACGATCAACCGTGCAGACTTCTAATGAAAATCTCTCCGAGGAAAAAGGTGAGGCATGTCCACCTGTGCCACCCAAACTCTACGTGGAAGGTGGTCAACCATCTCCAACAAAACCCAGACCAACAGTCCTGCCCAGACCTAAACCTTCACCTGACATCGAGGAAAAGAAGAAAGTGGGTGATGATTGTAGAGATGACAAGATGCAGGCATCTCCACCACAACCAGCTGCTAAGAGACCTACAATAATCCGACCACCACCCAAACCCAAACGTCTGCATGAATCAGAGGGGACTACAGATGAGGACAGTAAAGATAAAGATGCAGATGTGACGATGAAAAACATGCCCCCTGTTCCAGCCAAAAGGCCAAGCTCAGTTGTAGGGTTGTCTAGTGAAGTGTCTCGCAAAGATCCAAAACAGGATGGATCCACATCACCAAGACCAGTTCCTGCTAAGCGACCTGTGTCCATTGCTGCAAGATTTGAACAGCAGGTAGATAATGAAAAACAACCTGTTCCAGTAAAGAGACCATCACTTCCAAGAAAGTCTTCATCTGGATCACCAAGGGAAGATTCCGAGTCAGGTAGAAGTGGCACAGAAGAGGAAGCATCTCCCAAACATGTTCCTCTGAAGCCAAGAGCCAAGCGGAGATCGGTACCTGGTGACAGTTCCTCCCCTGATGATAAGTCTCCCCGAGATCCTCCTTCAGTTAGACCTGCAGCAAGCCCTGAAGGTACACCTGCTGTATCAAGACCTCCCCCTCCCAGGAGACAGTCCGATATCTCTGATGAAGGTGTCTCCCGACCTCCCCCACCTCGTCCATCAGGCAGACCAATCTCCATGACAACATCAAAGCCAGAAGCAGCTGAAGATGAGGATGTGTCTCCCAAGGTGCGTCCTCCAAGACCTGCAGGAAGACCAATGTCGATGATGACATCAAAGAAGACGGAAGAAGTTTCTGCAGACGTTGAGGAGGAGTCTCCTAAGGACAAACCGCCTCGACCTGCTGGTAGGCCAATGCCGATGAAGGGGAAGAAGAGCACATCAGACGAGGCATCTAAAGAAGAGGATGAGGACTCACCCAAGGCCAAACCTATCCGACCTTCAGGACCTCCTCAAGGGAGACAACCCGCTGAAGAAAAGGGTGAGGAGACTATCTCAGTTAACATGTCAGAATTGCATGTGTTTTGATTCTCATAAATATATTTTATGTTATACGTTTAGACTGAAGTATTGTATCAGTAATAATTGTGTAACCCCTCAGTTCATTGTTTAGTATGGATAGTAATAAAGTATCAAATTATCACAGAATGTTCAGTGAAAGGTTTTGTTTATTACTCAATTTGTATATTAATTATTTGTTATCTAGTTGTCTTAATATGTTGATATGATAATTGAATTATCACTTTATTTGTTATAATTTTCCCTTTATATATTTTTTTATTTGTTTGTTTGTTTATTTATTTGTTTGTTTGTTTGTCTTATTGATGCATTTGTTATTGAATTGTTGTATTTTTTGGTTTATTAATTATTATATTGTCTTATGAATATATTTTTTATTTAATTGACTTGTTGCTTCAGGTGAGAAGGTGGAGATGGGGCCGTCACGCCCCCAGGGAGGTCCACCGCGACCGATGTCCATGCCAGCCAAACCCCCGCCCCCCACAGGGTAGGGTGTATGTCTGTGTCTGTCTACCTGGAACAGTCTCTCGTAGTGACATGCTGTGGCAGTGTAGATTCATAACACGGAATCTTCCTGTTTCCAGAGAGGAATTTCTGAAGCAATATTAGCCAAGTCTGGATAAACAATCAATGAGTTTAGTTAAGTCATTTGGTCAAGTCACCAACTGCAGATGCTGAAGCCTCTTAACTCACCTTCAAGTGATGTGACATGATGATATTGATCTTGAAGTAACTCTTAAAAAGTAAACGTTATTATAGCAGTTATTGTTTTTGTGAAACTGCTCTGTGGAGCATATATGTTTTGAAAGTGGAGAGTTGAATGTTTTATTTCCTAGTGGGTCACCACGGAGTAAGAAGCTGCCAGTGAAGCCGTCGCCCCCCAAGGCAGGTGCCCGGACACCAGGTGGGTGTGGTTCTGGGGGCTACGTCTCAGCAAGTACACAGTCAGGCCATGCTTTCCTTAGTTTCCATGTAGAGATTTGACGGACCTGAACCAAAAGCCATGATCCTTAAGGAAAATAGACTTTAGTGTCCACTAGTGACTTGTAACTTTTTGATTAATATTGATCCGCGCATGTTGTCTCTGGTCCTCTGCAATCCTCCAATATAGAAAACACAACCTGCTAGGATATATACACAATATATACGTGATATATACATCTTATATACGTGATATATATGTGATATATACATCTTATGTACATGATATATACGTGATATATACATCTTATGTACATGATATATATGATGTATACATATTATGTACATGATATATATGATGTATACATATTATGTACATGATATATATGATATATACATATTATGAACATGATATATACATGATATGTTAATGTTATATGTGATAATTACATGATATATACATGATATGTTGTGGGAAGCAGCAGATTATCATTGACAACTACAGGTAATGGATCTACATTGAAAGGTTGCTGAACACTTTCGACCAGAAGGTGGTATCCATAAAGTTGTATGTTTTCTTAGGTAAAATACTGACTGATATGAAAATATTCACAGCTGAAGCATTCCACCATTGTTTGACAAGATGTCCCTGATGGCGTATGTTTCTTTTGATCAGACCTCCCTCCTCGTCCCGGACCCGATCACATCTTGTATCACTACACGCTGTCCGTGCCACACGCCATCGCCACGTTCGATTATGAAGCATCACATGTTGATGAAATCTCGTTTAAGGTAGGTGCTGGGAGTCGTGAAATGAATGTAATAAGTGTGAGTGTCCCTTGTTCGAATTAATAAAGTGACACATTTTTATCTGGATATATTGGAGTATATTGTCTTGTCAGGTTCCATGCACATGGCCATAAACAATGGCATGTTATTGGACATCTTTCCAAGGCAAGGGAGTTAACTGACTGTAAAAGTCCAGTTTCCACCCACAATAGTTATGTTAACCTATATTCCCGAGTCAGGGCATGTTATAAAACAATATAGATTTAGGGTGGGAAATGGTGCACATCAAACAAGAACATTTGGTTCCATCTTGATGCTGCGAGACACCTCCAGAATCAGGGCACTAAATACTGTAAATCTTGAAATTAACAAGAGCGTGAATTAAATGCGAAAAATGCGAGTGGCCTTTGCTTATTAAACATCGCATTTATATCAACAATAAGACATTTTAGATAGCAGAAATTCCAACTTAGACATATGCTTACTTACTTACTTACTTTCGAGATTTAACGTGCGCTTTCCGACTGATGCGTATTTCGCACACGGGCCCGGCCAGGCCATTTAATGTGTTTCCGAAAGGGGCAAAAGTAGACATACGCTGAAAACAAACAACTATGTATTCAACATCCTTGTTTATTGAGCAGCATTTGTAACAAATGTCATTCAAACTCTACATCCTGTGAATTGTCACTGCTTGGGTCAAGACAAGAGTTCTACTCACTTATGTCATCACTGATCACACCTGCAAGTCCAGACAGACGCCACCCACGCAACATGGTGTCTTTATTCTTTGCGACTGCGTCAAAGGCCAACACAAGCCAGCGAGCATGTATTGTTTTAGCAGAAGTACTCAATGCCAATAAGTGGTGCTATTTGGTGTGTGATTGGATTAATGTAAGGTTGGATTAAAGTGAGGATTCTCCTGTAAACCTGACAGAAGACATTTTCTTTAGATATAAATCCTCTGATGCTTGAGAGGAGGGGGGTGTCGCATTTTTGGCTAGGGACCAGCGGTCACATTCTTTTGGAGACGCATTAATTTCACGATTTACGGTATGCCCCCTTCGGAATTCTGTGTTAGAATAGATCCCAGCATCATACTGGGTGACTTGGTTGATTGTGTGTAATTGTACTCTGGTCATTGAACACAATATCAATCTCTAGATTGTCTGGCCCGGACGAAATTATTTACAAGTCGCTGTCATATAGCTGGAATATTTTGAGTGGGGTGTTAAACAACAAAAACACAAACTAAATAAGGGAATATAGAAGACACATTGTATGCTGGTGTTGCAGACTGAGGATGTGGTGATGTTGGTGCGGCGTGTTGATGCTGACTGGCTGGTGGGACGAGTCGGGGCCAAGGAAGGGATGTTCCCAGCAGGCTTTGTGGACATCGTCCATCCCCTACATGACGAGGTGAGGCTTCCGCTGTACAGCTGTCTTCAATTGTGTGAAATGGTGACAGAAAGACAAAATGCAAGAGCAGCGATCCATGTATTGTTTTTTAACTTCTGTTTTCCAAATAAAAGGAACATCCCAACATGGCCATCAGCTAAAAATAGATTCATTTTTTATCGTTACAAGTACCCATCTCTTTACATCATAAACATGCAATGAGATCTATACACACCATGAATAAGGCTAAATGCCATTCCTACTATATTTTCATATATTACATGTACCTTTTGGAAATATCTACATACAGTGTAGACTAGTGGTAGAGTGGCTGCCTGGAGAGCAGAAGGTCTGGGGTTTGATCCCCGGCCGTGTCATACCAAAAGACGTTAAGAGATGGTACTTGTTGTTACCCTGTCTGGCGCTCGGCATTAAGGGGCTAAAACAAGGACTGGTCAGCTCGGAGTCAGTATACTGTGTCTGATTGGGGTATTCATGTTAAACTGAAGCATGATATCTCAGTGGGCTAGCACTATGAAATCGGCATCAGTCCAGACTAGTACAAGCAGACACACACACACACGTGCATGCACGTCGCTATATAAGTGCAATAACCTTGGATGCAATGTTAAACTCCATTTCACCTCACCTTGCCTTGATCTTAGCCAAGTGATGTGGAAGCCATTTTGGACGATGAATTGTTATGTCAGATGTTTTCTGAGCTTCTGAATATTTCCAGATCTCTGACTTCGCTATAAAGCCAGACTTGCCATTGTGGGACAGTCCTCTGCCCGTGAAGAAGTCGGCTCCCAGTATGACATCAGGCCCTCGGTGTGTGGCCCGGTTCGACTTTGACGGAGAAGGGAAGGATGACCTGGTATTTGAGGAGGGTGACGTCATCCGCTTGGTGGGGAGGGTGGGAAGTGAGTGGCTGAAGGGGGAACTCGGGGACAGGGTCGGAATATTCCCCATTTCCTTCGTGGAGATTGTCGAGGACCTCCCAGCGGAGGACACAGTCAGCAAGTCACAAGACGGTCATGTGACTGCTATGTTTGACTTTGATGGACAAGGCGATGAACTGAGCTTCCAGGTAATCAAGTGCATTTTCAGTCATTTGGTCATTGGGCTGGTCATTGTTGTAAACACAAGCAGTTGAACATAACTTTTACGATTACTTTTTTATTTGTCTAATGGATAAAGCGTCTGATGGAGAGCAGAAAGTCAGAGGTTCAAACCCTGTCTGCCTCATGTCAAAATTATGTTTGGCTTTAACAATGAGACTACTACGAAACCTACTTGAGAAGGTTGTTTATTATAAACCTACTGCCAGTTTTGCCTATTGTATTGTAGATAGCTTCCTATCTTGTAATAACCTCTTGTGAGGTTTTACTTTTTGCTTGTAAAACCTCATCCCAGGTATGAGGTTTTACTTTTTCCTAGTAAGACCTGATGAGTTGAATAGTAGATGAAATTTGTACTTCAAACGTCTAATGTTCTTAAATTGAAGACAAGAAATGAAAGTTTTCATAACGGAAGGCTGGAATCGAACCTGCAACCTCACATATCATGTTTAGTTTTGTAACCCACTGTTTTCCCACTTATCCACCGGGGCAGGTGATGAAAAGTTGTTCAATTTTACTTGTCATAACTTCAGTTTGTGCTGCATGCTGCACATGGTCTGTCTCTCACACGCTTTGATCAAATTCCCTTTGTACTGCGACACACTTATTTGTTTCACTAAAAGGTATCCAGATGTTTTCTTCTTCATTCTGGTATTTCTTGCACTTTGACGATTCATAAGTTGGATAAAACACTCCTCCTCAGGTTTTGGTTCGTGGTTCTTCCATTTTCAACAATTTCTCATGCAACTGCTTTTGCCAACACTCGTATACACTCACTCACTCACTCACTCACTCACTCACTCACTCACTCACTCACTCTCACTCACTCACTCACTCACTCACTCACTCACTCACTCACTCACTCACTCACTCACTCACTCACTCACTCACTCACTCACTCACTCACTCACTCACTCACCCACTCACTCACCCTTGTTTGTGTAGGCTGGACAGAGGCTCCAGGTGGTCAGCCAGGTCAATACGGAGTGGCTGTTCGGACAGATGGATGGACGGACAGGGAAGTTCCCCTCGGCCTTCATCGACTATATCCCTTCAGACCTGCCTCAGTATCAAGCAGCCAATGAGATCGAGGCTCAGTCACATGATCCTTGGTCAGCCAATCAAATGACAGATGTTTCAAATGATGACAGTCATAACAAGGTAGGTCTTTCCTGACAACACGATATGCAATGTTCACAGGCAAGACTCTTTGTATGCAATTCTTTGAATGTGAATTCTTGTGCAAAATATATGAAGTCTTTGATAGGCACTTAGTAGCTGGAAGAACATGAAGACTAGGGGTGTAAAGATATAGCAGGGTCACGATGTGATGCATATCCCGATACTATGGATGCAATATAATTTGTTTCCCAATGGGTACTTTATTTCAAAAGTTGATTTTCTTTCTTTTTGTGGGTAAAATCACAACCCTGAATCATTTGTTTTTAAATTTCAGTGATCAAAGATGGGATATTGTAGTGCAGAAAAATATAGGTAGAGGGTACTGTGAATGGTGTGCTATTTACAGCCAGCTGGGTTGTAATGCACCTGGAAAAAGAAAGAATATCAACTGATCAAATACTGTATCAGGATACGAATAGTATCACACTCATAGTATCGGGATATGTATTGTAACGCAACCCCAGTGTATTGTTGCACCTTTAACTTTCAACACTTGAGGCATCGGCCATATCACCACAAAAGGTGGACGCTAACCTAGTGGGCCAAGAACGTGTTGCACTTTACACGACAATTTGAGCTGTGAGCCAAGGCTTGCTCCAAACTCGTCTGAATTTAATTGTCCAACCTCCGTATGTTGGACTTAGAGGGTCATTTCAAAGAATAACAATGTACATATCTCACCAACGTGGTATGAATTATGTTAGTTATGTGTGATACAGAAAGGTCAATCCTTTTGATTCAGCCAATCACAGACCCAGGTTTAGCAGTTACTGACCAATCACAGCCCTACTGCGTGGCAAGCTTTGATTATGAAGGTGAACAAGATACGGACCTGAGTTTCAAGACAGGGGAGACAATTCAGCTGCTGGAGAAGATCGGAAGTGACTGGTTGAGGGGGCGATGTCACGGCAAGGAGGGCATGTTTCCAGCAAGCTTTGTCACCATAGAGACGGACCTGCCTGAGGCTGAAGGTATCCTTTCTTGATTATTCAGTGTCTTATATCTTTGTTCTGTTATGATGAACACCATGACCCTGGAACGTTCGCCACCATAGCTTCATTTAGGAAGTCATGCACCAACTCCATCTGTCATAACCAACCTTGACAGTATTTCTCTCTCTCAAATTTTGTGTCATGCCTTTCACATCAGTCCTAATCACAGCAATCAAATTGTATGATGATGATGATGATGATGATGATGATCTTCATGCTATATTATTATCACCCCAGTCAATGGATCAGTGTACAATCAATTTTCATGCTCAGAAGGTGTTTACCGTATTCGACGTAATAAGCGCCCCACTCTAATATGCGCCCATGGCGATATTTGCTAATATATTTGCTAGTGAACAATCCCAATTAGCACCCCATCTGATTGATCATTGTACACAAGACATTGATTTGTGTAATTCGCACTCGTGTGTTATATGAACCCTTAATTATGGGCAATTAAATTCTGGAGAACATATCTGTCGTATATGATACACACATACTATTCTTTTGTATCATTTCAGGCCGTCAGCGTAAACTACGAAATTTACAATCTTTCAACTCTTATATTGTAATAAGAGCCCCTAATTCCAATTTTGAGAGCGCCCCGGGCGCTTATTACGTCGAATGCGGTATATCATTTATTGTATTGCTGTATATCTTCCCAGCTGTGCCACATGGTGAACCAACCAGTCATATACCAGCAGAGTCAAAGCCACAGATCCAGGCCAGGGCATTGTATGACTTCCAGGGGGAATCAGATCAGGAACTGTCCTTCAAGGTAGGTCGCAGGAAGAAGTCAGACCTACATGGTTTTGGTAGCAGATATTTTGAAACTGCAGTTTTCAGTACCTCCATTTGATGATATACTAGACTTCTGACCAAGATTGAGAAATAGGTACTTCCCTATCCAACACTGACTTCGATGATGATGTGGCCATCAATTTGGCTGTTTCAGTGAGAGGTTGTTATTGTGATTTGAAACATGTTATCAAATCAGAATGGAGTATTTTCCAATCATGTAGAATAATAGTGTTTCTTTGTCTCACATCAATAGAAGAAACTAGGGCTGGGACGGATAACTCGGGTACTTGGGTCGGGTGGGTACTGAGTAGGACCTGTGTACCCACAGGACTACCCGGACCCGTAGTTAGTCACATGATTTTATTGTTTAATGGCAAAAATGATCTAGAACTCTATGTTCACACTATAAGTGACAAATGTTAACATTTCTTTCTGACTTTATATGTTTTCATAAAGATAAAACTTCAGTCAACCTCAGTGTATGCATGACCAGATCGGTCAAATGTTTCCCGATCGGAAATTTTGTACCTATCTCTTGACACCTACAGGGGGTAACCGGGTAGGGTCGGGTAATAGGGGGATGGGTACCCAAGTAATGAACTTGGACTCGTCCCAGCCCTAGTAATACATTTTGAGGAAAAATAATTTCCTACTCCTAGAATACAGATAAGCATGACATCAAACAGATGAGTGAGTGAGTATGGTTTTACGCCGCTTTTAGCAATATTCCAGCAATATCACGACGGGGGACACCAGAAATGGGCTTCACACAATGTACCCATGTCGGGAATCGAACCCGGGTCTTTGGTGTGATGAGCGAACGCTTTAACTACTAGGCTACCCGACCGCCCCTGAAACAGATGAGAGGGAAGGTAGAGTTCCGGCCAGATTGGTTTTGACTGATGTTTCACAACCCTGTTTTGTATTTACACTTAACACAATACATGTTGACAACATCAAATATATTTCTCATATTATTGAATTCACTGCTTCTTTCGACATAAGATTCAACAAATTCAGAGTAGTGGTAGTGATAACCTCCGGCTATGAAATAATCATAGATAAGAATTCATCAACAAGCAAGTTGAAAATTATTTTGAGTCCAATAAGTTGGGAGAAGAAAGAAATTATACTGTGTTTCTTGTTCCTAGGTTGGGGATGTGATTCTCCTTGGCGGCGACGTGGCGGGGTCGCCGGACTGGCGCTATGGGGACCTTGATGGGAGGTCAGGGATGTTTCCTGCAGCATTTGTTGAGGTCATCAGTTGATCTGAGGTCACTCTGGCTCCACATTCACACCTGCACTGAGCATACATTTACACCTGCACTCAGCATACATTCACACCTGCACTCAGCATACATTCACACCTGCACTCAGCATACATTCACACCTGCACTCAGCATACATTCACACCTGCACTCAGCATACATTCACACCTGCACTCAGCATACATTCACACCTGCACTCTGCATACATTCACACCTGCACTCAGCATACATTCACACCTGCACTCAGCATACATTCACACCTGCACTCAGCATACATTCACACCTGCACTCAGCATACATTCACACCTGCACTCAGCATACATTCACACCTGCACTCAACACGTCTCAGAAGCCACTTCCTATCTTTCCATTGTTTTTCTTCATTTTGATGCTGAGTGCAGCTAGTTCAGTCAAACTGCAGGTGCTAAACACATCAAATGATTTCAATCATTTTCAAAAAGGGGTGGATGGCATTTTTGTGTGTGCATTGTGACAAAATGGTAGCCATTACAATTTTCAGTTTGTGTAGTGAAGGAGAAATAAGATTTAATGTTTTTATTGGTTTAATCACAGGGTATGAATTAATGATGTCTCACTTCAAGGAGGCACACGTCCCCCAGTGGTTTAAGGCACAGATATTTGCTATGCAGAGTTGAGTTTCTTAGGCATGCCAGGATCCTATAATTGTGAGCTTACATCTCATATTTGCCCTTATTACGATCTTTTGTTTCTGATTGGCAGAATAAAAAGCCAACTTTTTATACATTAAAAAAATGATATAAATGTTTCGGAGTCGGTGTATACATAAACCATGTTTAGATCGGTGTCAAAACCCACTCACTGGAACACTTTCGTGTATTAACAAGACGAGCAAAGGGCCTTCCATTGAATTCTATTGGGATGGTGAAGGGAGGGGTGCATGGCTTGGATGTTAAAGAATGTTTTTTTTAATCTTGTTCCTGAAAATGTCCTCAGGTTTTAATACAGAATTATTTATTGGAGATGCTGTATGTTTTAAAAAAAAATGTGTTGTGAGTCAAAATAGAATTGTTTGCCTCCCAATTCAGAGAACACTAAATGGGAGGTCCTTGGTGCTGTGTTAGTTATGTAACTTGGATGACAGATGGACATCGCGGGAGTGAGTTGGGTTTGACATGTGGAATGCTGCGTGTGTAACAGTATTTCAGTTACAGGACAATCCAAATTGACGCAGTTTTTAACCACTTTGGTGAAACCCATGAGCCCAGCATGATGCTAACAGATTAAGCAACAATATCAGGCTAAATCTTGAACTTGATCCCACAATCAGTGGATACTGGGACTGAAAAGGGATGCAACTCTGCACAATGATGTAGCCCTATTTGAGACATTAATTCCCAGCCACAAGTGGATGTTTTTGTGAGCTTTGTCAGGACATGTGCTACCTAGAGGTCAAGCTGTCATTCGCCATCCTGGCTACAAACATTTCTCAAATAGTTGGACATTGTCTCAAACTACAATTTTCTTAGGTTTGGGGATTCAAGATTATTTTGTTAATTGTTTCTTGAAATTTTATATATGCCTTTATATCAATGCCACCTTTGACGTATACCAGGTATTGAGTTATGATGCATGTTATTTTAAGTGCTGTGGACTTTCGTCATTTTGATGGTTAATATGGTGTTTGTAATTGAAGTGCAAATTACATGATTATAGTAACATGTGTAAGGTTACCATGACCTTTTTAAGTCAGATAACATGTATGCTTGAACCACATTTCCATTAAGATACATATCATTATTTATTAAATGCTATGTACAAGCACCTTGGACTATCATTGCTGTACTCATATACTACGCAAAAAAAGTGAAGGACCACCCAAATCTTTCTTTTGACTATACAGTCATGTCCCGTTAATCCGACATTGTTGGTTGCATATGATTGATTATGTCGGATTAACGAGTATGTTGGATAAACGAAATAAGGTAGTATAAATGTTTGTAATCGAAAATTGGACAACTACACGATAGATAACGATACGAGCACGTAGGAAAAGGAAAAATGAAATATTCATATTGTTGTGTTACATTGTCAGCCGAATGTTTTCTAATCATGCAACCACTAAAGTTTAACACAAAACTACTGTTACGGACTGTATGACTGATTCAAAATTGACTGATTTTTAAAGCAAAGTCTTGAATGGAAGTCGCTAATTTGAAACTAGTGCCGCAGTGCTTAAGAATGTTGCTTTCTTCGGGGCTAATGTAGACTTCCTGTAAGTAATTTCATTGGTAGGTCAAAGTTCGTGAAAGGTCGTTCTGACGTGACCTGTAATGGGATGTCCTCAGTGGTAGCGAGAACTTGTATCCAAGTTAAATGAGATTTAGGTAATCTAAGCATGTGATTAATCCTGTTTGGTTTTTTTAAAGCAGTAATTGTTTATTGTTAAGCAAGTTTATCTCGGCAGCCGTTGAAATATGCAGCTACTCGACGACTTGTCTCGCATCAAAACATGGGGCTGTGTACTCGCGGGCAGATGACCACGGAGTACGCTGATCACTGTGTCAGATTAACGAGACTGATAAATGAGTGATTTCAGCAATTCGTTGCAAATTAGGTGTGTCAGAGTCAGAGTGCGAGACTGTCAGATTAACAGGTCTAAATAGCACTGATTTAATCGGTTCCCATCATTTGTGTTGGATAAAGCTGATTGTCGGATTAACGAGTGTTGGGTTAACGAGACTTGACTGTAGTTCATCTGTCATGCCATAATATGAAAGAATTGGATGGTCCTTTACTTTTTTTTACCAGTATATGTGGTTCAGCCTCCTTTTATTACTTGGTTTAATTATTTTCTTCTGAAACAAACCACAGTCAGGAGTAGACATTAATTAATTATATTTTGGCACAGTCATATTTTTGTATGGTTGATAGAGTTTAAATAAAAATGGAAAATAAAATATACTAACTGCTTCAAAGGTCCCTTTGAATGCCCTGACAAAGAGTTACCTCCCTTACAATGTCAGTGTTTTGTTTTTTACCCTGACATGTTTTTTTAAATCACTGAAATGTGTTAATATTTGGCAAAGATTCATTTTTGTGACTCTTTGGGATTGTAGATTTGCAAAAACCAAGTAATAAAATATATATTTAAGCTCCATATGTTATAAAGAACACATGCTAGGAAGAGGTGCCAATGTACTCTCTAGTCAAAGAGAACTTGATCAAACAACGAAAATGTATTATACATGTGAAATTGTTCAGTTTAATTTTGTGTGAAGTGAAATAGTTTAGATTGCCTTGGACATTTACCATAATATGTAACGTTTTTCTGATGTCTGAAGGTTAATGAATGTAAAGCCAAAAAAGAATGTTTCTTATCAATTCAAGATTTTCAAAATGGCAAAGTGACCAGGCTTTGTTCTGCTATTTGAACCACATTTTTGTGTACATGGTCTTGTTTTCAAACAGCAAATGAAAGAAGACAACCAAGCCTGTCATGAATATGGCCACTTGTTTTCCATGTATTAAAAGCTTTTTGGTCACAACGTTTGGTCACTTTTAAAGGAAAGATAACTCTAACTGAAGACTAAAATCTAAACTCTGAAAATTCAGCTGAATTCCGGAGGGGCGGCCGGGTAGCCTAGTGGTTAAAGCGTTCGCTCGTCACGCCGAAGACCCGGGTTCGATTACTGACATGGGTATAATGTGTGAAGCCCATTTCTGGTGTCCCCTGCCATGACATCGCTGGAATATTGCTAAAAGCAGAGTAAAACCACACTCACTCACTGAATTCGGAATGGTGAAAAAAACAGTCAGCTGCACCAGCACAAAGATGGGAAACAATTTTTTTACCTAAGAATGGATGTTACCTTCTTTAGAAACTGTTCACTGTACACCTTTATTAAAAATTAAGTTTGTGAACATTATACATTAGATAGCTTCAGTCATGTATTCAGTGTGAACACACAAAGTTGAAAGTACCTTTGTGGTAAATAGTTCCCTCCTAAAATGGAATTTTGAGGTGAAAGATCTGGTTTCTTCAATGCCACTAGTTTAAGATATTTGTTTGGTCAAAACGCCATCAGTGAAGTTGCCACAAGTTAGTTTGGTTTTCTGATTATTCCTGAGATGGTGCTATCAAGAGTTATTTCCCTTTGACCACTGTTTCTTTGTCACTTCACGATGTGGTCTGTAAGTCTTATACTTCTCTTTTCATCTTTTCTTTGTTGTACACACATGTATTTGTTCACAAAACCATGCAGTGTCAAACGTTTGTTTCCTTGTAGATAGAAATATGTGGTCTGTAAGTCTTATACTTCTCTTTTCATTTTTTCTTTGTTGTACACACATGTATTTGTTCACAAAACCATGCAGTGTCAAACGTTTGTTTCCTTGTAGATAGAAATATTCACTTTGAGATATGTCAGTGCTTGTCAGAGAATATTTTCTGAGAATTTCTCTCTGAATGTGATTGTTGAACATGAATTAATGATGGTTAACATGTATGCAACTACAGGTGCCTTTCAAAGCTATGCTGAAATATGATATGCATATTTATTTTTAGCAGGTGGAAATAATGAACTGTAGTACTATATCATATAGATTAGGCCAACATTGTGTGTTAGTAGGTTTACAAGACAGTCCAACAAAAAAAACTTAAAATAATATAATGAAATTATTTTTGACAAACAAATGTTTTGGCCAACTGTTTTACAAGAGGGTGCATTGAAAAACATTTGTAGAATTTATTAGTCATAAAGAAATGGTGAATAATAAATATGAAAATCTTTATTCTGACAAGAAAAACAATCAAGTATCTTTCAGAATTGTTTCACATTCATACTTCTGTGATTGTTGGACCTATGAGTTTGTTTTTCATTCATTAGTAGCGGTACTAATCTGGAAGTTGAAAATTATTTTATATATTTTTTTAACACCTACACTGAATTTTATGCTGAACATTTTGTATACCAACTTAGAAAAATATCATTCTTTATGACCTACATGTATGAAAAACAGAAGCTTATTGAGGGAGTTTTTGTTATTTATTGAGGGTCTGAATTAGTTGTAGATTATGTGGGCAAATAGTTTATAGTTTTAGTTGATGGAAGTTAGTTTTTATATGCATAATGGATGGTGTAGTTTAATAGAGGTATAATGATATGGTGGAGTCGCGATATCATACTATGGGTGCGATACGATTTGTATCCTGATACTATGGGTGCGATACCAATAGTATCCTGATACAGATTTTTTAGCTCCTGCATTACTCACACAGTTCTTCTTTCTATCAAAAAAAAGCAGTAGATGCATGAAGGAGTAATACAGGATAAGTATACAAATATAAAAAATATCTAGGATTTTACTAGTGCTATTATTTCATAATTTGATATTTTTTCTTTGAATCATTTGTTTAAATTTCAGAGATGAACGATGGGATATTGTAGGGCAGAAAGATATTGGTAGAGGGCACTGTGAATGTCATGCTATTTATAGCCACCTGGGAATTACCAGAGAATCTGCGGAAGCTGGTTGTTGAACAGTTTCATTTAGCATTTCAAGTCTTTATTATTGTTTTTACACCAATATAACTTGTAATGTTATGTATCGTATGTGAAGTAGGTAAAGGGGTTGTAAATCAATGTATTGTATTAAGAGCCTTGTATTGGGATACAATACTGTATCACCGTAACGTTACACCACTATAATTGAGGTATTTTTTAAATTCATATTTTCAACTTTATTACACATATATGCTGATTATGCTGTTAGTAACATTATTCAAATCAGTTCATAAATATTTATCCCATTGTTATCACTCGAAACAACCTTTTCCAACCATATGACTAGTAGTGGTAACATCAATATGAAAGATTATCGTAATCGACTACAGACTAATACTAAAATTGATAATGTGCAATATGATGAGAAAGGCCATGTGTAATTTTTGTAGCTGATGTTGCACTTTATGGTTACCATGGTAACAATTTGGATGGAATGTTTTAAAGCTGTTTGTATCAGAGATATATGATAGTATTCTGTTCTGTTCTTGTTTATAAATTATTCAGGACAAGGCCAGAACCATCTGTTTCCTGTGTTGTGGACAAGGCTATTCTAATCTTCCCAAACAAAACAGACATGGTTTTTATTTTAAAACCCAACTTATTTGTAGCTTTTTCACATTCAGAACCATTTTTTGAGAGAACAAAACAAGTGCCATTATAATAAGCAGGTGTTTTTAAAATATGAATAACTCCTGGTAATGTCAACGTTTAAGGCCTCATTCAACTATAGTCATTCATGACATTATTTCTAATGAAATTTTAACATGTTGGCGGACAAAAATTGTAGAAGAAAAACTTTTATATATATTTTTTAAATTGGTCTGACTTTTTTAAAGCAAACATTTATTATATGTGTTAGTGATGCACCTCAAAGCATTAACAGATATTAGGAATGTCCATAGTGGACCTTGGATCTGAGTGGGATTATTGAGAATGGTCATTGTTACAGGAGAGAACTGATGACGATACACAGAGTTTTACCTTGACTTACAAAACTGGGGGTCCAGGGACCCTCAATAATTAATGTTAAGGTTCTTCGCTGGCAGTAGGAGGTCCTGTAAAGTAATGAAATGGTGTAGTGTACTTGTTTAGATAATTACTACAGAGTCTGGGATGAATCAGTGATGATGTGGACAGTGGTCATGACTGATGGATGAAATGACAGACACCCATAACTGCTCTAGATGCGCTGTAGGTACAAGGAATATTATTGTGTGTCCCTTGGGATGCGGTATATTTTATTTCTGCATCCCTTCTCTACATTTGTGAGCACTGGACGCACTTTTGTGTCGTCGCATAAAGCCCTGGTACATATGTATCTTCTGAAATATATGTGGATTTACTGTTATAGCTGTTGGTGCGATGAAAGCTGTACCTGGGGATGTATACAAGCACGTCGTGTATACCCGAGCACTATATTCATCAGTGGACACTGGACTGTATATGTGTTTGAGGGCTCCCTGGGCCCGTTGTATAAAGCGATCTTGGCACTAAGGAGATCGTAACTCCCATACCTTAACACAGACTTACAACAGTCGTAGGGCTAAGGTTGTTTTGTAGTTTTGTACAACGTCACTCTGGTTCATAAGTAAATGGGGCGGTCAGGTAGCCTGTTGGTTAAAGCGTTCACTCGTCACGTCAAAGACCCGGGTTCGATTCCCGACATGGGTACAATGTGTGAAGCCCATTTCTGGTGTCCCCCGTCGTGAAATTGCTGGAATATTGCTAAAAGCGGCGTAAAACCATACTCACTCATAAGTAAACGCTTTGTGTTAGCTTAAGAGCAGAATTAAACACAACATGCTCAGATATGGGATTTATACTGAGCCTCCTGATAGAGATGGTTTT